TAAGGTGGGTCTTCAAATTCATCGTTTCATTTTTCTGGTATCTTCCGCTGTTTTGATGTACCAACCAACCAAACTTCGCTAAAATTGTAAATGGCGCCATATTGAAATGAACAAAATCAACATTGCAATGACACAAGCAAAGCATTGTTTGAGTCGCAGCCGCACTTAGCTTTTTATTTTTGCTTTGACATAAATAGTTCCTTACCTTAGAAATCTTTTATAGGCCCTTGTTATTCCGCTTGGAAGATATTTTCGAAATACTGTCCTTTGCAATTTGGTGTGAAGGTGGCCGACCGGCTAACTCATTGAAGCCACTGAGCCGGGATGAGTAAAATAAAGTTACTTGTTGTTGTCACTTTCTACAGCGCGTCACAACCCAGTTACGTTTAGTCTACTTTGATCTTAATTTTTGTTTTATTGACGTCTCACACAAAAAGGGTCCCGTACAAAACGGCAGGTAACGCTAGCGATTTGCCGGATTTTAATTTTTCACAGGTTCCTGTCACTCTGCGTGACATATGATAATCTGTCACGTAACGAGATCAACAAACAATTCATTCTGCCTCACATGTAAGATCTAAACAAATATATTGCCATCATGAACGAGAACGATATAACAAAGAAATAGACTTTACAAAATTTCACAAATATAAACCGTACAGTGAAAACCTTATGGAACGAAAATAACAATCGACTGGCGAGATCATAAAAACACCCAATGTTATCAGAACATTGATACCAGAGCGTATTGTCCAATAGTATCAACAATACTGCTGTGAAACCAACTTTGAGCCTATGAGTAAGAGAACTCTAAAGAGAGTTTGGGCCGTGTGTTCTTCATCTGTTCGCAAGTCTCTGCAAGGACTTGATAACTTTTCAGCATCAGGAATGGAAGCAGTTGATGCTATAGAAAAACTCGTAGACAAGCTTGTTGACTGTGGCAAGACTCAGCAATGAGCGAGGGAAATTAAGCAGCAACTTCGTTTGTCGAAGCAGTACCTAAAGGGCGACTACAAGGTGGGTGCATATTTTATAATTATACGTTGCCTTTGCAGAAGTGATGTAGTAAACTTCTTACTATGATTCTGGGCTACCTCTTTCTTTCTCTCCAAGTCTTCTTTATGCTTAATTGATGAGACAACAGTTTACAATTCACTGTAATACGCTTACACACATGTATACAACGCTGAGTATCGATTAAGTAATCTTTTTGAAATGTCGATCATATGCGCATTCAATGCTTTGTAAATATACATTGAATCACGCGCTTGTCATTTTACTTTTTATTTTAGGTACATACAGTGGAGGCCTTAAAGGTTCCCGATCATTGTCGAATTTACGCGCTAAGTGATCCGAGCAATGCTGAATTTCGGGGCTCCTGCGACCATCTCCTCAATGAGTCATATGAGCAATGTTATGAGTTACAGGAAGTATTGTGTGCCATAGAAGATGAGTGTTCAAGTGCGCTCTCGTCAGCAGAAGATCAAGCTGACATGCAACTTTCCATCAAACAGGCAAGGGATGATATCATTTGCTGGAAAGCCCATCAGCTACGTTCAGTCCACCAAGCTGAGGCGAAGCATTCAGTTTTAGCCAAACTCGACAGCCGATCGGTGTTGTTAGTCCAGGACTGGGCAATGAAATATATGCCCCGAAAATATCGAGAGGCGCAGTCAGATTGGTTTGCGAAGCGAGGATTGCCATGGCACATTAGCGTTGCCATAAGACGGTCTGAGGGTTCTGAGCACTTTGAATCGCAGACACCTGTTCACGTATTTCAAAGCTGCGCCTAAGACAGTGTGACTTTGGCTTCGATTATGCTTGACTGCCTCACTACCCTAAGAAAGGAAATTCCAGAGCTGGAAATGGCTTATTACAAACAAGATAACGCTGGCTGTTATCACAGCGGAAATTCAATCATCTCAGCTAAGCTGGCCAGTGATGCCATGGGAGTGGCTTTTGTAAGAAACGACTTTTCGGACCCTCAAGGTGGAAAGGGGGTATGTGATCGCAAAGCGGCAACAATCAAGGGAAGGTACGTTGGAAGGTACGTAAACGAAGGCAATGATGTCATCAACGCTTTACAGTTCAAGACAGCCATTGAATCTGGCCAAGAAACCACAGGAGAGAAAGCAAGTTATGTTTAATATCAAATGGGATGGCATAAGCTTACTCGACAATTTTGAGTACGATGAAAGTGACACACGAGTGTGGAGAGCATTCAATGTGGGTTCCGGTAAAGTAGTGCCATGGGCCAAGTTCGAAGGAGTCATGAAGTAGCCCGAAAAATTGGAAATCCTAGACTCGCCATCGCAGAGTCCAAGTGGCGCACCGACGTTCAAGATTGTGAGACACCGACATATTAAGGAAAGCTCTGTCAAAGCAAATTTCTTAACTGAAAGCGAAAACCAAGATCGAAGCTGTATTGGGGAATATAAGCCAGATGACATGCTTTTCCCGTGTCCAGAAGAAGGATGTGCAAAAGCCTGCAGTCGCTTTGCAAACCTCCAGACACACCTAGATACTGGAAAACACCAAGTGATGCTCGAACAGGAAACTCTCTACGATGAAGCTAAAAGAGAATATTCTTCCAAGCTGATGGAGGGACGCAGTCGAATACCAAGCGTTCAAGTTGCTGCACAATCAAAGAGAGACGGCTTGCCGCCTCTTCCAATGGGTTGGGCCCTGAAGACAATTAAGAAAAAGGTGCGTTTTACGAGGAAACATACCGAATTCTTAACTGACCATTTTCAAAAAAGGGAGTATAGTGGACGGAAAAGCGATCCACAGGAAGTTTCGAAAACCATGAGCCTAGCAAGAGACCAAGCGGGGGGACGTCGATTTCAACCTGATGAAGTCCTTACGTCGCAGCAGATTAGTGGCTTCTTCAGCCATCTTTCAGCAAAGAAGCGATTAGAAATTACAGCCGCCGGTAACCGAGCAAAAGCTAGTGAAATCTCAGAAGTGGACATGGAGAGCGTCGACAAGGACGAAATTTCCGCCGAAGCTGAGAGTCATCTATCTGCAGTGTGTGCAAATGTGATGGAGATGTGGCTATTCAACATCCGATTGTATCTTTCGATCTAAACATCTGCGAACTTGTACAAAACCGTACACTCACAACTTTAAGAGTGGATAGGCTAAGAGACATGTGCATCGACCTTGGGCTGGATATATATTTCTGACATTTCACCTCAGAAGATGAAAAAGCCATTCATCGCACGACTCACGCAATTAGTCCAGGAGTGTACCTGCTCTTCCAAGTAACTGAGCACTGAACGTTTTACGAATAACTGATCTGCTGATTATAAAAGCGGTGCGTGTATTATTTACATGAAGGCGTTGCGTGACAGCAGAGTCCTACATATCGGATTTTAGTCACTCGAGCTCACCATTGCTTGTGAAACCTCCTCATCTTTGTGTTGGACGATTTTCAGTAAATTCGAAACGGGCGAGTGCAGAAGGCGCAGAAGGGATGCAAATACTCGAATCCATGTTCGCCGGATGAGAAGTAAACGGAAACTAACGGCTTTGTGCCAAATTTAACCTTTTGAGTGCAATTGAACTGTTTAACCTGTTGTGTGTAGAATTATGCAGAATTACGGCGTGATTCTCAAAGGGTAGCAAAAGTTGTTTCTCCTGTCTCCGTATATAAAAATCAAGTGTAGTTATAGACATTTTAATATGTTTCTAGTCATTTTAACGGCCAGTGAAGATATAACTGACCAAAACAGTTATTTGTGTCCGACGCGTTTAATTTTGTTATTATGCACTCATTATGGCGTCATGGTAATTTAACCAAAATTCGGCTGGTGGTCATCTTTTGATAGTCAAAGGTCCCAAAGAAATAAAACCCACATCGTAAAGAACTATCTTTCAAGGCTTCTTGGTAGTGTTATTGTAAACTTTGAGACACTACCACATGTATTTTTGCCAAGCTATTCTAGGCCACCTTTGCCTTAATTTCGAAAGGCCGAAGATGTCGTCTCTTAATAGGGACGTAGCTTCTCCAAGAATAACATTAGACAAAAACTATCACTTTGTCTCGATAATACAAGTCCAACTCAATATTTTTATGACTAGAAAAGTCCTTCCGTTACATTTTCGTTAGCATGACAAGTGCCCGAAAAGTGCAAAATTTCAGGATCGCGCTTGGTGAAATTTGAGCTATTTACCCCGGAAATGTTAAAACAAATTATTCCCGTTAAAGTGCATATTTAAAAAATCTAACCCCATTTCCGTTTGTTTACTAGATAAGGCTACCCACAGGCAAAAAATGAACCAAATCGATTTTTGACCGTGTCCGCGACTTTTTCGATAATCTGTGATTTTTATTGACATTTACTCTTAAATGCTCATCAATATAAACACCTAAGAATTTTGTTTCATTTACTTGTTTCTATGTCTGATTTCCAGAGGATAGGGAAAAAGATTTACCAAGTTCCTCCCGCCTCGAATTAATAATAATGTACTTAAAGATGATTCTAATCTGCTATTTCTCTTTCTAATTTGGCGACCAATTACATTTTTGAACTTGGAACTTTTTTGAACCAAAGAAAGTGATAGAGAATATAGGAACCTTTATCATGTCTTTGGCAGTAAAAATAGGAATCCTATTTCTCTGAAGATCCACCTTGAAGGTCGACTTGTGATTATGGAGCTGGATACAGGTCCTGCTGTGTTAGTTAGGAGCGAAGGAGTGTATCAGAAGTACTTCTTCATGTTCCCTTGAAGGACACCCCATGGAGTTGCGTACCTACACAGGCGATTCTGTAAAACCTAAGGGGTTTTGCAATGTAACTGTTCAAAACATAGGACACTCTAAAGAACTTCCAATTTATGTAATGAAGAATGAGGGAACCACTCTCTTTGGCCGAAAATGGTTAGAGTCTATTCAGCTGGATTGGCCCCCACTTTAGTTGGAAACATCAGACACCATTCCTACCCTGGAAGTTGTGTTGAGCAAACACTCTAATGTTTTCTCTGAAGGTCTGGGCAAGATGAAGAATCAAGCACTGATACAGCTACAAAAAAGATGCTCAGCCTCGATACTGGAAAGCTTTAAACCAGCAGTGAATGACGCTTTGAGAGGGCTGGAGGCTGAAGGAGTTATTGAGAAGGTAGCAACCAGTGAGTGGGAAGCCCCAATCGTGACTCCTGTGAGCAAGGATGGTATTGTAAGGGTATGTGGTGATTTCATGGTGACGATTAAGCCTCAGTTGGAAATCGATGAGTTCCTTGTTCCCCGCGCTGATGATATTTATGCTAGCCTAAGTAGGGGTACATTATTCAGTGTCCTTGACCTGCGTCACGCTTACTAACAATTGGAGGTTGAGGAACGATCTAGGCCTTCCCTTACCATTAACATGACCCATGGTTTGTACCAGTACCAACGTTTACCGTATGGTGTGGCTTAAGCACCAACCATCTGGCTAAGGGCCATGAGTCAGGTCCTACAAGGCACTTTACGGGTTTCTTGCTACCTGGACAACATTATTGAAGCGAGCGGAATCATGGAAGAATACCTTGAGCGGCTTGCCGCAGTTTTGAAGAGGCTTGAAGAGTATGATTTGAGGGCCAACCAGGAGAGGTGTAACTTTCTTAGAAGCTCTGTTGAGTATTTAGGACGTGTCATCTCTACAGATCTAGAAGGACTACACTAATCTCCCAAGAAATTAAAAGCCACCACCGAAATGCTAAAACCTCAGGATGTCATATAGCTGCCCGCCATCCTTGGCATGGTCCAGTATTATGCGAAATTCCTACCTAATTTGGTACCCATCTGGCGCCGCGCCATCGGTTATAACAGAACAACGTGAGGTGGTCATGCGGAACCAAGTAAGACACCTGTTTCCGGGTCGTGGAAGAAATGTTGTTACAAGACAAGGTTCTGATAATTTATAACCCCGAGATGCCTTTAGTTATAGCCAGAGGCAGCTCCTCGTATGATCTCGGAGCTGTCTTATCACACCGTACATTACAGGGAAAAGAACGGACCATTCTTTATGCAACCCGATCTCTGTCTGAAATAGAGGAGAAATACTCACAAATCGAAAAGGAATCCCTATCCCTAGACTGGGGGGTGAAGAAGTTCCAAACCTACCTGGAAGGGCGTAATTTTACCTTGGTGACTGACCAACAGCCCTTGAAGTACAAATGGATCCGGAGAGGGCGGTGTCAGTTACGGCAGTAACAAGAATACAACGTTGGTGCCCTTTTCTAGGTGCCTTTTCATACCGCATTGAGTTCCGAGGTACAACACAGCAGGCCAACTGTGACGGTCTCTCTCGTCTTCCACAAGCATGGGACCGGATGGCAAGCCAGATGAAGTGGAAATTATTCATATATCTGTGATCGAGGCCTTACCTGTCACAGAACAAGAGACGAGAAAGCAGACCCATAGAGACCCAATACTTTCTCGTGTTCTAGAGGTTGTACAGTCGGGATGGCTGGAAGCAGAAGCTCACCTCGAGCTCATCCCTACCGCAAAAGTGAACCAAGGACTCATCAGGGAGCTGTAATGTGGGTTGGTAGAGTGGTTTCCTCAGCCAAACTGAAAGAGAGAGTTTTGGAAACACTTCATGAGGGTCTCGTCGGTATGGTCAAGATGAAAGTCATATTCCGAGGATACGTTTGGTGGCCAAACCTTGACAAGGACATAAAGGGGCAATCTAAAACTGTGGAGGATGTCAGGAGACAGCAAATAATCCAACCCACTCAACCCTACAGCGTTGGGAGTACCCTGCAATACCCTGGTAGAGACTTCTCTCATATTTTGCTGAACCCATTCAGGGAAAGATGGTTATGGTGGTAATTGATGCACACAGCAAGTGGCCCGAGATCTTTGTGATGGAGAACACTTCAGCTGATGACTCCGTTAGCGCATTACACTGGCGAGGACGGTTTAACTTCAAAAATTGCACAATCTATCTAAATTGGTCTGACTACCTTAAGTGCTTCAACTGGACAAAATGCATAACTGGCTGAATAGGATCTACTGCACCAATTGCACAATCTAGCTTAATTGTTCCAACCGGTTAAATGGTCAAACTTGCGAAAACAAGTTAAACTGTATAAAATTCATAACTAGCTTAATCAGTTCACCTGCAGAAACTGTTAAACTTGCCTCAAATGATTTAACTGGTTACATAGTCAAACTAGCGAGGACATTTAACTTCAAAAATTGCACAAGCTATCTGAATTTGTTGAAGTAGTTCAAATGGTCAAACTAGCTTAAACTGCTCAACTGGACAAGCTCCATAACTAGCTTAAACGGTTCAACTGCACAATCTAGCTTAATTGGCTCAACTGGTTGAATAGTCAAACTAGCGTAGACAGTTAAACTGCACAAATTGCACAACCTATCTTTTTTGGTTGAAGAAGTCCAAATGGTCTAACCAGCTTAAGTGCTTCAACTGCACAAACTGCACAATCTAGCTTAATTGATCCTACTGGTTAAATCTTCAAACTTACAAAAACATTTAAACTGCACAAATTGCACACTCTTTCTTACTTGGTTGAAGTAGTTTACATGCTCAAACTAGCTCAAATGGTTCAACAGGGAAAAAATGCATAATACATTTGGTTCAACTTAAATTGAATGCAGACGGTTCAATTGCACAAACTGCACAAGTCCCATTCTCCGAAAATAGCTCCTCTGTTGTAGGCTGACTACTGGAAAGAGATCCGTAGGTGGACAGAGAAAGCGTTTTACAAACAACTGAAAGTATTCATCAAAAACCTGGGCGAAGATCCTGAGAACTGGGTAGGATAGGCTCACCTTTGGGCGCTCATGTGATTCACATCTGCACATTTGCACGCATGGGACTTCCTGATCAGATTGTGTCCGACAGTAGACCTCAGTTTACTTCGAAAACTTTTAGGAAGTTTTCGTTTGCAAATGGGATTAAGCATGTCACTGGCGCGCCTCATCACTCCTCAACCAATGATCAGGCGGAAAGACTGGTACAGAGTTTCAAGAAAGGAATAACGGCTGACAAGTCTGGGAGAGCTTTTCAGCACAAGCTCGATAGGTTCCTGCCAACATATCGATCAGCTCCACACGCAACAACTGCTCTCAGCCCTGCACAGCTATTGCTAGGTCGAAATGTCAGGACAAGGCTGGACCTAATTAAGCCGGATGTCACGAGGGGGGTCGACAAGAAATTGCTCCAGTCGAACAACAGCACATTAAAGTTTTTCGTCAACGACCAGTATGTATGGGTCCGCAACTACTTCAGAGGACCAAACTGCGTGCGTGGCACAGTCATTGAGCGAACGGGTCCAGTTCTTTACAGGGTCAGAGTAAATGAACAGACCTGAAGGCGCCATGTAGAGCAGCTGTGGGATAGCTACCTTACCCCAGCCATAGAGGAAATAGCAGGTGATCGTGTTGTTCCTGGGAGGGAGGGGAGGGACATGTGATGCCCGCGGTATCAGAAGCTACGCAGAAGGATACACCAACTCAGGTCATTACATCAGACGGGGAGGTCCACTCAGGACCAAAAAGTCAGAAACCGAGCCCTGAACCAGAGTTCATTACTACCCGTGTTAGGCCACCCGCCAGATTCCAGGACTTTGTTCGCAACTAGCGAACTCTATTTTATTCTACTTTTTATTATTTTATGTTTATTTTGTAAGTTCACATGTTGAAGTCTTGAGGGAAGGAAATCGTTAAATCTTTCCGTTTGGGTTTTTCTAGTACCCAATGCCACGCGATTTGTACAGGAGGCTGAGGTTTTGTTGGCAGATTAAAAACCACTATCTTGATCTTTGACTTGTTTTCTGAACATTTGGTCAATCCACGATAATTTCCTAAACATGAAATAGGTAAAGTAGGTCTTATGAGGGATTCAAAATTCCACTTAAATGGTTTGTACTTTGAAAAGGACTTAATCCACTTTGAACTGGTTTCTTTGCGATTTAAAAAAAAATGCTACGTTTAGGTTCATAAAAACTCAGTTTGATCGAGTGAAAACATTTATCATTATTTCAAAATCATCTAGCACCTTCATAAGAATATGTTTATAAGTATAATACCCAAATTCTCGACACTGTTGCCTTTCATCGTCATAGAAATTTTCCAAATTTAGAATCACGCAAAAAGGAAAAAAAAACTTTTTCATCCAGTAAGTCCACTGGTAGCTGCATTCATACTTTCGTTCACTTTACTGTAAAAGACGTTTTTCTCCATAAGTGGCAGGTCGACGTTACCTTGTTCATTCAGTAAACAAGGAAGGTACAAGTACATCATTAATTTTTCGGAGAAGCCAGCGTAGGTATAAAATCCCACTGCTTTGTGTGAGGCTATAATCCTGTTGTCGTTACCTTCACTTTAACGAATGTGGCCAAGACTTTATCCCAAAGTGAATCTGCACTCATGGTTAAGAATGACATTATTCCGGGTCCAAGTCTGTAAAGTAATAGGATTCTATGAGTTCACACGTTTGATTGTTTCTGTTACATATAAAACTCTTTTTTCGTCTAGGTATAAGTTCCTCCTTGTAAGATATCTAAAAAAAAACTACTAGAATATACATTTTTTAACAAACTCTGTTATGTATTTGAACATTGGAAAAGATCAACATCTCGCCATGCCGTCTACAAATATGTTGCTTTAATTTCGCACCAACTTTCTCATACCATTACTGCTCACATAACCGTTCCGCCTTTATCGAATATGAAGTGAAGATTAGAGCGTCATTAGATATTATGATTCAATAAAATGAAACAGAAAAAAAACTTGATATGTAACTGGTGGTTATGGAACTGGTTGCAACGTGGAGAGCGGAATATTTTAGGACAATTACAGTTTACATGGTTAGATGCGCGTAGCGCAAATGGAGTTGCCTTAAGATATAGTCATTTCATCGAGGGCACAAAGTTAGTAGAAATGGGAATAAGAACCGGGAGAAATACATGCTTATCTGGTCATCGAGTTTTATCAGGTTTATGAATTGCAGAGGGGATTACGAAACCGTACTATGTTCTTGAATACCGCAAAAGGTTTGTTGATCGAAAGGCGCGACTCAGGACTTGACCAACAAACTAAAAGCTTAATAAAGTTTGCTTTAAAAAGATGCTTCAGTAGAGATTATTGACAGACCAGGACATTTAATTACTACTTCATAAGTTGTCTTTCGGTCCTTTCGTACAGCACTGAGACAATCTCACTTTGATTTCGCACGGAATGACTTGTAACATTCCTAGTTGGCTAACGGTAGCATAGTAACCTCCGAGATTCATTTTTTTTTTTATGGAGGGTAGGAGAAATACAATAAGGAACCACGGCGTGTGACATCCTGAGAGAAAGAAAGTAGTGTGTGTTATTTCCTTAGTCTAATTCGTGACAGTCTTACGTCTAACATGTGTAAACACCTGTGAATGTTGCGTTACATTACAAGTGTGGGGTGTGTCACATATATTCAACAGTAATTGGCCCACGTCGGTCAAGTGGTGCAAAATAGCTCTCTATGATTGGTTACCAGGGATAGTGACCTCCTTAACTACCAGTAATAATCAGATTTCATCAGTTAAAAGGCAGCCAGGAAGTTAAGAAACTAAATTATCATAATTATAAGATCGAATTTTGCCATCAGTTTATGTTTCTCGGGAAGTTGGTATCGAGAGGGTTCAGCGCCATGAAGAATTTGATCTTTATCTGTATTCTGTTAGTCCTGTGTCTCATGATGTCTGTACTTGTGTCTTCGCAAGGTAAGTTTATCTATCACCGATAACTGAGCGGGGTTAGTGATGGGGTAATTAGTCTCTCTCAACCGTATTTGAGATGTAGTCTCTCGAAAAAGTGGTTCAGGCATTTCGGTTAAAATCTTCGATTTATTTCAACGAATTTTTCTTAGTCTCAAAGTAATAGAAACCATCTTGTTTTTTCGATTTAATACAGAGCGAAAATCGCTCCGGCGCTCAAAGGCCCATTTCTAAAAGCGCCGATCATTAAAAATGGCATAAATTGTCCTGCTCGCATTTTTGGAAAGCTCGTGTTGAGGAATTTGTTTGGTTCGCATATTTAGTTGGATTCTATTTAAGAACAAGTTACATAAGTTTTCAAATTTTACCGTTTTTTTACATTGAAAATTATTTTTTTCAGCTTGACACTTATTTTGTCTTTACCGCGGCCACGATCGTAAATATGCTACTTTTAATTTTGGCTGAACACAAAATTCCAACCCCTTTCCCATAATATCTTTATTCAGGCTAACAAAAGTAAGGTAGACGAGTATGGTAATATAAAGATATGTTGTTGTTTTGACGAAGTTCTAGCACAGCCGGTGAACATATTATGCAAAATTTCGACTACACTCAGTCGACTGACAGCAACATTTCACATGACTCCGATTATGACTTTCGCTCAGGTTGTCGAAACGTCAGTCACCATTACTGACAACAGTCCTTTTAAGGTAGAAAGTGACCTGGCCTCTTTGATTTATGATACTCGGACTGATTTACATCAAAAGAAACTCAAACACAGTCGCCAGACAACGGAAACGGTAGAAACTTGTTAGTTTGGCCACCTCATATCACAACGTCGAGAAAATTCATCATAGCCCACCTGATGAATGTATTATTAGGCCTTTATGTAAAATTGAAGTCAATGTATACAAAGACAAATTGATAGTGCAGTGCATAAATTCACTTTCAGCACTTCCAATTTTAGCTTATAACTTTGATGATCTTGATCGTGACCAACCTAATATTTTGGTATCTTTTGCCATGCCAGTTTGTCATGTGATGCAGACCCATACATTGATAGTAAAGGCTTCTAAAACATTCCAAAACAAACTATCGTTAAATGCGCTAGGTGGTCTGGTCTTCATTCAATTTATTGCGAGGCGGAGGATGATTTTAGTCCAATAAGGGCAGACTAATTTCGGCATTTTTCTGCAAATTTAAGTAAAGTTTAACAGCAGAAGCATTTCTGTTCTCCGTCGAGTTTCCTGCTGGGAATTAGTGGAAGTCGATCGATTTTCAAACCGCTTTTATGTCAATTCGATTAATAATTAATTGACTCGTCAAGAAGCTGAAGACAAATATAAATAAAAAAATTAACATTTTTGACTTGTTTAAAGAGAGTTTTGTTTTTGGTCTCCACAGGAGTACACTGTTGAAAGATAGTTAACACCTCTTTAAACTTCTTTAAATTGCTTGATCAATTAAATTATAGGTGAATAGAAAGATAGTTGGGCAGATGGTTTTATGAGTAAATTTACGAGAATTTCATATTCGAAATTGCGAATGGTTTTCGTCTCAAGTTTTGGTCATTTTATTTTTCAACAAGCTCTGTTACATATCTGAACATCGGGAAGATCAAAATTTTGCCATGTTGTTTTCAAATGTATTGATTTTGCACGAAATTACTCGTATCATTACCACGTAGTACTCAGCTAAGCGCAGTCCCGCAATTATTGTATATGAAGCAAACACTAGAGCGTCAACAGGACATAGCGATTCAATAAAATGAAACAGAAAAACTTGATATGTAACTGGTGTTTATGAAACTGGTCGCAGCGCGTAGAAAGAGCGGGACAGTTTGGGACAGTTACATTTTACATGCTTAGATGCGCGCAGCGCAAATCTAGTTGCCTCAAGATGCAGTCATTTCATCTAGGGCACAAAGTTGGTAGAAATGGGAACAAGAACCGGCCGGGAGAAACACATGCTTATCTGGTAATGGAGTTTTTTCAGACAAAGGAATTACAGAAAAGATTGTGAAACTGTACTATGTTCTTGATTGACGCAGAAGGCTTGTAATCAATCAGAGGGCTCTATGATTGATTACCAGATACAGTGACCCTCTTAACTACCAGCAATACTCAGATTTCATTGGTTAAAAGGTAATCAGGAAGTTAAAAAAAAATAATTGATAGATAATTTAGGCATCAATTTGTATGTCTTTCGGGAAGTCGGTCTCCAGAGGGTTCCACGCCATGAAGAATTTGATCTTTGTCTGTGAGCTTTTAGTTTTGTGCCTCATGATGTCTGCACTTGTGTCGTCGCGAAGTTAGTTTCACCATTACTCATTTCTGAGCGGAGGTTAGTGAGGGGGAAATTAGTCCATCTCAATCAATTGCAGTCTTTCTAGGAAGCGGTCTAGAAAATTTCGGTTAAGAAATCGATTTCTTTCACATTTGCCCATGAATCTGCCTTTATCTTAAAGTCGTCGAAACCGCGTTGTTTCTTCGAATTATTGCAAAATATTTGTTTTTTATTTTCCAAGCGCCGATATCTTTTTCTTTTAACAGCGTCGATCATCAAAAATGGCATAAGTTTGCCGTTGTTGTATTTTTGCACAGCTCTTGTTTGGGGAATTTTTGTGAAGTGTTCCTAATAATGGTATTTAGAGTGTAGTCATTTTAACTTTGACAAACCTGCAATCTTATGGGGTAGCGCGCGACAAGAATTAATTTGTTCGAAGGACCCATCTGCTGTGTTTATAACCCATGAAATCGCCTTAAAAATACTATAGTTACAAAAATGCCCTAAATAAATCAGTTGGAGTGTTATTTTATTAGTAGGTGGAGAAATATGGGAAGATAAAAATATGTTGTGACTTTGGCGAACTTCTAGCCCAGCCGGTTGATATGTTTTGGACATTTTCGAAAATTCCACCTGACAGTGCACAGAAAGCAGACCCAACAAAATAAGAGATTTACGTCTTACAACGATGGTTGACGCTTGAATTTAGCATATTGAAGCTTTTTTTCTGATGGCGCCTTAAAACAGCATTTAGGAGAGAAAAATATCCATCCTTATCTAGAAAAATAGTGTTTCCGAAAGTTGTCTGATAGCTCTTTTAGCGACCTATTGTTTGTCTGTCACTCAGCTAACGAGTATTTTTAGATCAAGACAGATTCATGAAAAAACTTTGAAAGAAATCGATTTTTTTTAAACAAAATACCCCGGAGCGCTTTTAGAAAGACTGGATCTTAATGTTTGACGCCAGTTGGTTGTTAAAGAGGTTTGTTTTGTTTTTCGTTTTCACAATAGTATTAGTTAAATCGTAGCTATGCACTCTCTTTAACTTATTAAAACTGCGTAACCGATTGAGCTTTGTGAGTGTCATTTAATGTAGATTGCAAATGGTTTTCGTTGCTTTCGTATGTAAATTTTACTTTACTAAACTGGTTCATCGTTATCCAGTTTTATTTTTGTTTGGTATTGCACTCCCAGGTATGAAAATAAAATATGGCCGTGTGAATGCAGTCTTCATCCTTGAATTATGCCCTACCTATTCTTTGCGTCTCCTGCAATGGTTATCGCCCATTTGTTGTTAACCTTTTTCTCTAACAAATCGTCAATGACGTCCACAGTCCACAAAAAAAAAACCAGAATGTTTCGAAACTTAGCAATTCATTGCACTTCACTAAATTTAGAACTCACGGCCTGGCTGGGCAAAAGCAGCACTTCTAATCAATGTCCTATTTGAAGACAGTTTTGTGCGTTTATCTCTGATAATCAACACTTGCATCACCCAAGTCATCCACTGGTGGCAATAGATATAGTCGCCCGCGGGACAAAAAAAGAGGTTTAAGAAAAAAGGAAAAGGAAGTGTACTAGAAAATAAATAAGAAAATTAGTGTCAAAAATTATCACTTACGGTAAGTTTAAATAATTCGAAGTTTATTCATAAAAAGTTCATAAACAGATCTGTCGACAAAGACAAATGGTAAGCGTTCTCTCCACCGACAGGAGCAGCAAGTTTAGACCCCGACAACATACTACCTACATCATCACAGATATCCAGGCAAAGTCTGCTCTCGGTGGACAAGTTTCGCTATCTCGATGTACCTGAGCTTGACGAAATTATGGTATACGACGACTTTGAATGCACATTTAGATGCCTTCACCATCCTCTGTGTGTTTCCGTGAACCTGGCTGCTGAAGGTGATTTGTGGTGTGAGTTACTGTCGTCTGATAAGTACAGCAACCCCAATGAATACAAAGAAAAAAAGAGTTCGCGTCACTATTTCTTTGAGGTAAGGACAATTTACACCTTGGTTGCATCACTTGAGTTGTACTGTTTCAAGAAAGATCTTGAGAAGCAGAAGGAAAATGCAGTTGTAAAAAGAAAAATGTTACTCAGGGCACGAAGCAGACTAAAAGATTCGAGGAAAACAAAACTTATTTTTTTATAATTCAGCTGAGGAGTTAGTTCATTCAAAAATGCTATGATATCAGAGCAATTACACTCACGATCACAAGCATGAAATCATCGCTTTAATTATTATAAATACATTTGTCATTGCTATTCATCTATATGCTTATTGGTAAAGGATCGATTGTGAAATGTTTGCCAATTTCGAAAAAAGAGAATTTGAGTCGGAGAAAATTGGTCTCCATGGTGTGTGTTCATATTTTGACGTAAGAGGCCCACATATAGTCAACGTCAGTGGACTCTTGCCCAGCTATGATAAGTTAATACTAAGCGCAGCGTAGTTTTCTTTAATTTGTTTAAGGCTGAAATAAAAGCACAATTTTTAACTATAAATGTCCAGACTTTCAAATTTAAATATTTTTGGTGCTTTGTCGCCGAAAGGTACTTAGCCTACTTGCAGAAAACAAAACAGGAGTATACTAGTTGCATATCATAACAAAATGATTCTTGTTTCCCCTTAAGTTTTGATTTTAATTAAGAGCCTATGTATTTGGAATGAGATGCTTTTTACAAGTCTTATCACAATGTTGCATCTCCAGAAGGAGCAAGACTTAAAAGACAGGGGTATGGGTCTTACTAAAACGTTGAGGGAATTTTTTTTATTTTTGCATCAGAGTGCTTGTGCAAAAAAACCCTGCAAGAACAACTCCACTTGTCTAAACGGTTTTACTGACAAAAGAGATAAGTGTTTATGTTCCGCTGGATTCAAGGGTCGGACTTGCGATGAAGGTAAATAAGTCTGCATGTTATAAGTTTTATGGAGAAGATGTCAGTATTTCCGTCTGTGACTAAAAAATCATTGTATGAGCTCCATGCATGGAGCTTAGGAGGAGTGAAACAAAGAAATTATTAATAAACTGGCATAAGTCTAAGGGTTACATTATCTCCTGAAAAAAAAAAAAAAATAAAGAACCAACAAAACAATTTTGGGTGGTCTTGTAAATCCGGAAAATGGGAGCTCATAGAGATGAACTGAAAGAAGAGAAACCAGCAGTGCGGATACAGCTCGCAAGAATTCTATGCATTATTTGAGTGACATTGGAACCAAGTACTTAACTTTAATATACTCTACATCAATGAGGTTGAATGTTGCAGACATAAACGAGTGTATCGAGGGAACATCCGATTGCAGTGCTGATGCTGTGTGCAACAATATTAAGGGTTCCTACAACTGTACGTGTAAACCAGGATATTCTGGAGATGGACGGACTTGCGAAGGTAAAAGTGACCAAAGTTGTTATTCTAATTGACGAACAAGGGAATGAAAACTAAAGAAGCAAACTTCAACTCTAAAAACCTTCAAATTAGTCCTAGGGTTTAATACAGTGGTAGAGATAGTGAAATTGTAGTGTTTTTCTGTCGGCTAGATTATACCGTAATATAAAAAAAAAGTTATTGGTCGCCAATTAGAGAGAAATAACAGATTAGAATCATCCTGAAGTACGAAAGTTGTCAACTCCATTTCTTGGTGTTAAAAAAAGAGGGGGGGGGAGGTTTTCATATTGGTTACCTTACATTTTACAGAAGTAAATTAAAAGTGTATTATAATCGTGCTCAATAATCAGTTCCTTAATGGATTGATGGTACTTTTGCATGTTCGAGAGAACTGCGACAAAATTGCAAGGCTCTCAAGACATCGGATCAAACGTGGGTCTCCACTTGTTGTTTGCACTTTATCTGTAAATCAGACGACGTTCTAATTAAAGGAGAGTCTTTTCAGATATCAACGAATGTGCTACAGGAAGACAGAACTGCAGTGCTGATGCTGTGTGTAACAATACTAAGGGATCGTACAACTGTACATGCAAACAAGGATACTATGGAGATGGAAATATCTGCCGTTCGGGTAACATTTTACCTGCTGTATTTCTTAAGCTGGGTAAATTCGCGGCTTCGCTCCTTTATTTTTATCTAGCGCATTAGACACCGCTAACAATGCAAGTTACGAAAACACGAGTGGCCAAGAAAATTGTGTATTTCCTATTCCACGCGTAAATTTTCCCTTTGAGAGCATTTCAAAACTCCATCCCATCATTTTTTCCTAAAGGGTTTATTACTGTTGATATGCCTTTTCTTTTTTTCAGCTTCGACGTGTAAGGAAATTTTCGACCGGAATGTGTAAGTCAATTATTCACTAAGAACAAAACCGGCGCGGAATTTAATGAGAGAATATGAAAATAACAGTAGTTCTAATAATGATAATTCTGAAAATGATACTGCGCTAAGCATAGCAACCTTGATAATAAACTTGCACACTAGCTTCCATCTTGAAAACTTTCGCCCCATCGAAAAGTACTTTGTGTCATTTACTAAATATATGGAAGCCATGGCCCTCATCAAGTTTCAACTAAATCTCTTTATTTAGGAAGATTCTTTATTTAGTAGATCGAAAAAATAGTGGCGAGGTTACCCTGCACTTAGACTCAAAGCCAATGTCTGTTTTCTCTCAAATGGGAGAATTTGGATGCAGGCCACCAAATTTGGCCATTTCGTGATCTTGTTTCAGAAGGATGGAAAGGTGATTTATTATGAAAGTATAATCAGCTATTACATTAGTCTTTCTTTTCCTTTTTTCAGGGGGAACTTCAGTTTATACGCTGATATTTTGTATAATGTTTTTTAATAATGTCAATTTTTTTGCAATAGTGAGTGTGCATAGTTGAAGATCTAAATCAAGTCGATTCTAGCACTAACGATTGAGTTTTATCACTAGCGATTGATATTTTAGCACGAACAATTGAGTTTATCACTTGAGATTGATATTTTAGCACTAAAAATTGAGTTTGTTACTAGTGATGGATATTTTGGCACAAATGGCTACCCATAGGTTGATTCAATTGTTTTTAATTCCTCTTTTTTTTAAGATCGCAACGAAGCCAAGTATACCCGCTGATGTTTGGTTCACAAACGATTCCTGTTTTCTGTCACATGGGAATTGTTGGATGTGGGGATGGAGGATGGACGCTGGCCATGAAGATTGCCGGCACGCAGGTTAACTCCCTGTCTCCTTTGCGAAACTCTTGATATTATTGAAATGAACATAGGCAAATCAAAAATGCAATTCTTGTCTTTCAGAGAACTTTCCATTACGATTCCCAATTTTGGAGCAACAGAGATGCCTATAACATTTCTGGAGGCAAGACTGGCTTTGATTCCCAAGAGACTAAGTTACCAACCTACTGGAATACATCCTTCTCCAAGATCTGCCTCGGTATGAAGATTAATCATCAGCTCAGGTTCATTGTCATCAACAGGCACGCCAACTCACTGTTCTCACTGATCGCTGATGGGAAATACCGTGCCACCTTACTGGGTCGTAACACGTGGAAGTCGCTGGTTGGTCAACAGGCCTCCCTGCAGTTCAACTGCAATAAGGAAGGATTCAATGCAATGGGAAGCAGCCTTCATTCCAAAGCAAGAATCGGCATCATGGCTAACGACCAGAATGACTGTGGTTCCTGTAACTCCCGAATTGGTTTTGGCACAGGAGGTCGACTTGATGATTCCAACACGTGCGGAAATCAGGCAATGCACTTGCCAGATAATGGAGACAAGCACATCAAAGCCATGGGGTACATCCTGGTACAGTGACAGGGGACACAGTTAACTTCCCAAATTTTAAGCCGAGAAGCCATCATGAAGTAGAAAATGTAGTATCCTAAAGCTTACCAGCTAATAAAACGGGTTCAAAATTATCTTCTCCTCTGGTGCGATTTGTCTAAAATATAACTTTTTGAAATCTAGCCTTAGACGTTTCAATTATGCGAAGCCAATTTGAAGAAGAAATTGGCAATGAAGACATACTCAATGTTTATAATACGTCGTTGTCGCGGACTGTACGTGAAAGGAGGTCATGATCTGATCACGCACTGAAGGACGTACACGAAAATAGTGACTCTTTAAAATTTGATTTTTTATTTATTTATTCAGTTATTTTCTGTGCAAAGGATTCGCCGTTTGCACACGCCTCATGCATTTGTCTGCTCGAGTGAAATGCGCGAGAAATTACGCCTGTTATGCAGGGTAACCCGGAGCTCAAGAGCATGAAAGACTTATATGGAAAACAATTGGCTCAGAGACGAAAACTAACAGAGCGCAAAAAGTAGTTTCTCTCAAAGTAAAGCCTACTTTTTTGGTTATCACCAGAAGGCCGGCCAAATTTTTCTGTACCATTTGTTCGAGACGTCTGTCTCCACGCGAAATGCGAATGTACATATTGACAAGATGATCATTAGCTCTTCATTCCAACGGATTTCTTTCCAAAATATTTTCCTTAGCCAAAACCTCTCTCACCACAATTTCAGATGTCCCCCTTTCAATTCGAAAACTCGCCTAAATGGATCAGAGCGATTTCCTAAGATAATCTTAGAGAGACGAATTCTATCGCTATTTCTTGTAGAACAAAGGATAGTTTTGGAACCAGTCATTTATGTGGGGAATCGTACATTTCGGAGAGGAAATCAGTCGTTACTTGCAGACCATGTAGTTGGGACTATAGAAAAAAACTGACTGCCAAGTAACTGCCAATAAAGAGGGGAGTGAGGAAGTCAATAAGAATATTACAAGCAATACGCGTGCGTTTACTACTGATGAGAAAGAAACGGAAATAGAAAATTGCAAATTTCAACGTGAAACCAGATTGATAAGAGTTCTCCATCGGTGTGCGCATGCTCCACAGGCCACCAAATTTGGCCATTTCGTGATCTTATTTCAGAAGGATGGAAAGGTGATTTATTATGAAAGTATAAGCAGCTATTACATTAGTCTTTCTTTTCCTTTTTTCAGGGGGAACTTCAGTTTATACGCTGATATTTTGTATAATGTTTTTTAATAATGTCAATTTTTTTGCAATAGTGAGTGTGCATAGTTGAAGATCTAAATCAGTCTTTACCATTTCCATTACTGCCTCAACTAGAATGCGTCACCAACATATGATCATCGCCTTTCAGCTTTAGGCTGAAAATGTAGCCCCTCCAGGACAAGAAACCGCTTCATCACCAGGCAAGTGGCTTCCTCACGGGATGATTAAAGTATGATTACAACACGTTTGACAACGAATAAAGCATGAAAAAGCTCGCAAATGATGGAAGCAACAATTGTTTTGACGTCATAGAATATATATTGGTGCAGTGACAAGGGAGACAATGAAATGTCCAAGATAAGGCCCTGAAGCCGAGTGAAATTGGGATTATATAAATGTAAACTTAGGGACATACATAAATTACACTCTGAGGCTACTCTGACATACATTTAGTCTTGCTTTCTTGGGACTATCTCCAGGCACTTTTTTTTAAAAATACGGTTTCGGAACTCTTTCTTTCTTTATTTTACTCAAATAAAGAGACGGTATTTGCAATTACCGTGGCTATCCATATAACGAATTATTTTTTACTGACATAGAGACTCGGCATGTGTAATCGGTAAAAACCAATAAGGTGGGCCACCTGATATGACTTCCTCGAGATCATTCATCACATCCTACCGGATAATGCTATTTTTAAGCCTTTATTATAAGTTATAGTAAGGCGATAAAAAAACAACAACAACAACAACAACAAAAAACAAAACAAATTGATGGTTTAAAGCATAAATTTTACTGCAGCACTTCCAGTTTTAGGTTACTAGTTGAATGCTCTCAATCGTGATAAACTTAAGATCACCGTAATATTCGCCATGCTAATAATACCTGAAAAATAGAAGTTTCTAAAGAACATTCTCAAAGAGCTCCCGTAAAAAGTGCCAGTTGGTCTGGTTTTCAGCAAGTTTATTTCATAGATTGCTGCATATTTCTACAAATTCAAGCCAAGAACATCAGCAGTAGCATTCATATTTTCCATTTGATTTGTTGCCAAGAAAATGGAAATCGATTTTCAAACATTAACCGCTGTAACGTCAGAACGATTTCAGTCTCAGAAAGGGATTTGCGACATGAAGATACCTTTTTCTGTCTCATCGCACGGTGAGCTTAAGCATTATTCATCTCTGATGGGGTGTGGTCCTTCTCAATTATAGTTACCTTTATCTGTTATTCGGTTAAAAGAGGTTTTGTAGTTTATCGCCACAATAACAATTCGCTTAACGATAGCTTACCACTTTTTTCAACGTTTTTAAAATTCTCAACCAATATACTATGGGTGATTAGATGATGAATGTGCGGTTTTTTTTTTTTGTATTTCTTTCGCAGCCAATCGTGAAAGATTTTCTTTTCTTTCTCTCTCTCTCTCTCTCTCTCCCTTTTTTTTTTTTTTTAAGTTTGAAGGCCCTTTTCTTGTTTGTTTCTGCCGCAGTAGTTATTATGCTGCTAATTCAGATTTTTGTTAAGTTTTGGTCAACTTTTTGTTAAAGAAATTACTACCACGGACAGGGAATATCGACAAATGTACCTGTTATAGTTAATATGTAGCTTTGTTAGTAATTCAACCCGCTGAAAAACAGGATGTCATACAGTAAAGCTCTCCTGCAGTATAGACTCTTTGCAAAAGTTATTTGTTCATTGATTTCTTTAACGATTCAACCCACTTAAGTAATTGAAACTAAAAACTTGCGTTTTAACTGAGAAAATATACTTCTCTTTATTTTAGGGGAATTTTGAAATGTCAATTTCTTACTTAAATATTTACATTTTCTGTGGAAATTATTAGCTATCTGGGAGTTTCCTGCAGGTGGCAACACGGATAATTCCGACTGAGAAATTGAAATAGAGGACAAGTGCCCAAAGGGGTTTTAAATAGTCTTAAAAGGAACAAAAAAATACTTAAACATTCAGACGGATAAACTGTCGATAATTACCATCATCATTATGGTCATCTCTTAGTGTTGTATCATCAGCAAATACTCATTTCAAGT